CAACTGACCCTGCCCCCTTGAAGGGACTTTTTACCCCAGGACTGTCTCAGGTGCTACCCCACCTGGGGCTGGGTACAGGTTGCTGCTGAGTGTTGGTGAGTAAAAGGTGGGTGGCAGGTGGTCCCCACCCCTGCTCCCTGGTCCTTTCCTGCTCCACCTCGGCTTTCCTGCCCAGTGTCAGTCTGGGAACCTGTGGATGAGCCTCCTGCCCATCCAGTGCCCTCACGATAAAGCCAAACCATGGTCCAACAGTTGATCCAGCACAGGAGGCTGCCCCACCACCCACAGATCTTCTCGCCCAGTCCCCACCCCTCCAAGGCTCTGCCCAGTTGGATTTATTTTGTAAATAGTGGTTCCAGGAAAGAGTTCCAGGCCCTGACACACTTACAGGTGAAGGGGACCCTGCTCCCAGGGCCTGATCACACAGCCAAGCCACAGGCCTAGGCACCCACTGTGCTGACCACTAAATGTGCCCCTGGCCATGCCCTTTCTTCCTGGGCCTGTGAAATCCAGGCCACCCTCATGGCCACTTGATGTCCTCTGGGCCTCCTGGGTTCCCCTCCTGCTCCCCAGTGAGCATGACACCCATGGTGAACAGCCCTGCGCTCAGTAGCCAGGTGTCAGGACCACGTTGCCTCCCAAACAGGCAGGCGGAGAGCTAGACAAAGACGCTCATTTGCCACCTCTCAGTGACCAGCACAGACGGGTCGGGAGGAGAGGGAAGGGAGGGAGGTCAGAGGAGTGAAGCCTTCTCAGGTCACCCCAGGGAAGTCATCTTCCCTCTGCTGGCCGAGGGGCTGCTCAGTGGGAAGAGGCCCTGGGGGCTCCCAGGGAGAGGAAACCCCACACACGAGGCCCCCCTGGGGGCTCAAACCTAGGCCCAGCACCCACACATTGCCGTTTCTCCCTTTACCTGTCTTCTTACAATGTGCCAGGCAGGTCAAGGTCATGCTGACTGCTACTGGACAGAGGCTTGGACAGGGCTATGAGGTAGGGGCAGGCCCAGGACACCCACATAGTCAGATGGGACCCTCAGGGCTCAGTCCTAATGGGGGCTGACCTGCTTTTTCTGGGTGTTAAGTGAAGAGGCAGAGGAAAAGAGGGTGATGGAAAATGTGGGGACAAGGCACAAGTAGGGGTGGGACACGGGGCAAGTGGGACCAACCCCTGAGGAACAGAGAGCTCTGGGCCAGCAGAGCAAAGGCAGTGGCAGCCACCCACCCAGACAGGCTTTGGGGATTATAGATTATAGCTCGAAGCCATTTGCATATCAGAATTTGAAACAGCCAGCCCCTCCAGCAAACAAGGTCATTTCAAAGATAAAAATACTGAGTTCCCCTCTTCCTGCTGCCTACCCCCTCTCCTTCTGAATTGGGCTGGAGGATCAGGCCAGGGCAGCTCCAGCCCAATGTCCTTTTCCCCAGCTCTGGGGTGCCTTCCACACCACAGGCTAGGACCCCGTCCTCATAGACCAGAGGTTGGGGTAGGTCCCCTGCCCCACCCTAGTCCACTTTGCTTGGCACAGAGGGATCCCCTCCGCTAAACTCCCACTCCACCTCTTCTCCTTTGGAACCGGATCCCAGGCACCAGATCCCTCCTTAACCCCTGCTTCCTTCAGGCCCCAGGGCCTCCCTTCTGGGCCTTTGTATGGGCTGTGCCCTCTACCTGGCACCCTACCCTCTCACATGCTTGAGGCCCTTGCTGCCCTGTGGGGCCCTCTGGGTGTGTACTGCCTAGGACCCCTTCCCGCACACCACATAGTTGAAGCTAGTTTTGCTTGAGCTCTGTGAGGGTGAACATCCCTGGCACACCCAGCGTTTCTCCAATACTTACTGGGTGCAGCTCTGCTCCAGCCCTCACCCACCCCTGGTGGCTCAGAGGAGGAGGTGATATCTTAGAGGTCACACTGTGGCATCACCACAGAACTGGGCCTCAAACTCAGCCTGGACCCTGGGTTCTGATGGACAGGAGACCTGGCTCTGGTGCAGTGGAGGCGTCTTGGGCGAGGGGAGGGTGACGGCATCTATGGGGCTGAGATGAACATTACCCACAGGGAGCGAAAGGTGCTTCTCCTTGCTCCACAGCTGCTCAGCTTGGCCGGCCCCAAGAGGAGAGTTCTGGCTGTCTCAGACAGTGGCTTCCCCCCGCAGGACCTACCTATACCCTTAGTCTCCCTTAGAGGAACCCAGGGTCCCAGGGTGGGGTGATGGTCCTAAGGAAAATGCTGAGGTGAGGCGCTCACTCTGCACCAGGTGCGATTTTTCTCCTCACAGCTCCCTCAAGAGGCTGGTACCCTCGTTAGCTCTATTGTACACATGAGGAAACTGAGGCCCAGAGAGGCCAGTGGCCTGCCCACAGCTACTCGGCAAAGCTGGGACCCTGGCCTAGAGAGCGGACTGGGGGTTTGTGCTTCTGCTCTCAGGACAGTTCGGGGGTCCAACTTGAAGCAGCAACACCAGAGAACCAAGCCTCCAGCAACTGACACTGCTCATAACTTTTGAAAATGAAAATAAACACCCTAAACATCTCCCCAGTCTGTTTTTGGAGCCCTGAGGTCACCAGGTATGAGGCAGGGGCAGGAGGAAGCTAGGGCAGGGCAGCGATGGGGCCAGGAGATGGTGGGATGGAAGACTGTGACAGTCACTCGCAGGCCCCAGACTAGCACTCTAGTGCTTACAGAGCCCTGCACATCCGGGGCCTCACTTGTGTGTGCAGTGTGTGTGCAGGGCGTCCTGGGAGGAGAGGGGGTAAGGAGGCCTCGTTTCTGCCCTGTGCCATGTGGGTGCCTCTTGAGGGTTCTTGTGGCCATGTGCTCGGAGCCCTGACCATTGGAGGCAGGGCAGCCAAGCTGTACCTACTACTGTGCAGCCGAAGAGATGGACACTGATGCCTGTTGTCTCCCTTGGGCTGGTGTCACCCGGGTCCCAGCCAGTAGAAGGCGGCTAGAAAGGTGAGGAGGGGCCAGCTATCGTGGGCTGCAGAAGGGCTCCATGAGGCAACTGGCTCCCACCCTCGGGCAGGCCAGATGGGAAACTGAGGCTCGGGCCAAGTCACTTGCCCAACGCCAGAGAGTGCGGGGCACACTGTGGTCAAAGTTGCTGCCCCCATTCCAGAGGGGAAAGGAGGGTGGTGCCCCCGGGCTGGCCTCACAAGCTGCTGCTGAGGGTGGGAGCTGCATTTCCCCGCATACTTGGGGATAGGGGACTAGCTGCGGGCCAGGGATCAAGAAACAGGGAGAGAGAGACAGGCAGGAAGTGACGCTCGCACATGACTGGCAGAGGGGCTCAGAGGAACAGAGAACAGGAGAGAGGGCCTTGGACTTGTGAAGAGCACCAGGATTTGCAGGTGAAGGTGGCAGAGCACTGGCTGTACCTCTGTCCCCCAGACGGTCACTGCTGGGCAGTGCCCTTGGGGAGACCAACCCAGCTGGGCCCCTGTGAAGCCCTGCTGCCCCACTGCCGGCACGGACGGTCCCCGTGAGATAAGAGTCCACTGGGCCTCTGGCTTCCCTGGCTGGGCGATAAGTGTGGCCTGCTTGGGTTCTGATAGGGGGCGGCCACCATGGCGGTTGGCCAGCGGCCGCTTATCGGCCCATCGCTGCCCACTGCACAGAAATTCATATCTGTGGGAGCTGATAGGGAGTCCCCAGGCCCCTGAGGATGCAAATAGTGCAGGAAGCTCCCGGGTGCACCCCAGCCCTCACCCAGGTTCAGGTTCTGGTCTCTTGGAGACTCTATTTCTCCATCAGTGAAGTGGGGATGCTGATACTGCCATTGCGGGGTAGACAGGCACCACCTGGAGGGATAAGCAAAGCTGGCACTCACAAACCTGCCGCCAACTCTGGAGTCAGGCGGTGGGTCTGCACCCGGCTCTGCCACTTCCCAGCTGGTGACCTTGGACAAGCCCCTTGGCTGCTCTGTGGCCCTCTGCCAGGCAAAGATTTCCCTGACACTCCCCCTACTGCAGCAAGGTGAGGCCCTCAGCATGTAGTTTCTTCCCACCAGTCATGACCCTCACTTGTATTATCACAACCGCACGCATGCTCCCTGAGGACTGCGTTTGCTCACAGCTGTACGTCTGGTACACAGCGGGCGCTCAGTAAATGCTTGCTGCATCCACACATGTGCCTGGCATGAGTGCGCAGTCTCCGTTCCACCCTTTCAGTCCCAAGAACCACGTCCTCCCTCTTCCACCCCCATGCAATGGCCCTTGATGGCAAGCTCTACCTGAGCCCAGAGACGCAGCCCCACCCAACCCTCTCACACACCAGCCTGTGTGCCCAAGCTGAGGAACCACAGAGACAACCAACATGCCCAGACTTCCCTCTCTTCATGAATGGGTAGAATCGGGGGGATACAAAGAGAACACATCTGGTGGGAAATCCGAGGTCAGAATTCCAGCTACGAATTGGAAGGGTAGTGGGGCAGCACAAAACCGCCCTCAAAGACACTTCCTATGGTCCAGGACCAGGCAGTTTGCAGCCACCTCCTGCCTCCCAGGTGGCTTGCAGCCTCTTGGGGGGGTTGGGGGGGCCGGTAGGGGTGAGTCCTCTCCTAAGTACCTGCACAGCTTCGAACCTTCAGCCTGGCTGGGAAGGCCCTCCACATGCATCCACCACTGTCTTTGTGCTGGCTGTTTCTGTCTCCTGGGATGCCTGTCCCTGCCCTCACTGCCTTTTTCTTTCTCAGCCAGAGAAGATTCTACCTCCTGGGAATCCTCAGAACCTTCCGGTCTGCTATACAGGGCCTGGGATTCAGCTCTGAGCATCGGCGCAGTTCAATGCCTGCCTCCAACAATACTGCCAGCCCCATAAGTGGGCTGGACTTTGGAATAGGCACAGGCTCAGGCCTGGTGGGTTGCCATCGACCTCTCTGGCCAGCAGGCCAGGCCCATCCCACCCAAGCTGTCAGGGTGGCTAGTTCCCAGGACTCCCAGAAGGCTGGGGCCTAGGGGCATCCTGGAGGGGTGATGCTGCTAGACCTGACTGCAGGCATGGTTACCTGGTCCATTCCAGGAGCAGCTGGCTTCCTCCTCCAGACTCGTCTCTGACTCCTGCCCCTTGGTCTCCTCGGGGCCTCTTGGAGGTGTGGGGGGCGGTGGTGGCAGGGGATTAACTTCTGCAGAGAGAAAAACATGATCAACTCCCTCCAAGCCTCTGGTACCAAGTCACTCGCCTGCCCCACCCTATGTCCAGGAAGGACACTGAGACCCAGGTGGGTGAGCACAAGCCTAAGGTCACCCACCCCTAGGCTTGCTTTAATTGGGAAGGATCAGACATCTCAGTTTTCCCCTTGGCCTTTAAAACCTCTTATCCCTTCATTAATTGTAGCAATAATTGCTATCCCAGCTGCTGTTAATAATTAGAGTGCAGGATGGCCTACCAGACACGCCCAGGCAGGGGCACACAAGAGAGCTCCGCCTCCCCGGCCGCCTCCTCAGGCAGCTGGGGGCCCCTCCAGCAGGCTCTGGACCCAATTCCAGCCCAAAGGGCATATTTGCCTTCCCTGCCGGCCTGATAACCACCTCGGCCCCCAATCGATGAGCTCCCATAAAAGCCCCCCCTTAGTGACGTCACGTGCCCGGCAGATTATTAATACCCGAGATAAGGGCCGTGATTAACATCAAATAAATCAATCACACAGTATAAAAGTCCTATTATTTTTGGCTATAAATCAACGTGGCTGGCATTTGAGCTCTAGCCGCGGCCGGGGAACCGCGCTGGGCCCGCCTGAGAGGCAGATATTGCTCCTGCTGCCTTATCACGTCCATCGCCACGTTATCACCACGGCCTGTGCCAGGTGCAACTCCGGCTGTTTTTTCTAGGTCCTTCCCCACCCCCGCCCCCATGCAACCCCAGCTCCCAGATCAGATAAGGGGCCTAGCTCCCCAGGAAAGCCACTGGGTCAAAGTCCACCAGTAATGAGCCATTCACCCTTTGGCAGATATGGGCCTCAAGAGGCACCGCCCCCCCATTAGTGCGCAGCACCTAATACTAATAGTCATGGTGATGAGGTGGCCCCTCACATACTCTTTCAGCCCCTTGGCCACCCCGAGGGGCGTGTGCCCAGTTACAGATGCAGAAACTGAGGCTCAGGAAGGACAGGAACACAGCCCAGGAGTTGGCTGGGGGGAATGCTAGCTGTACCGGTAAGCCACATGAGATGATGTCTGATGACGGCACAGATAATAACAACGAGCCAGAGCTGGCACCAGAGGCGAGGCCCAGGATGTCTTTACCCAGCCTGGAGGTTCCTGGTGAGCTGAGGGTGATGGATGCCCTGGCTCTGGGTTTAAGTCCTGCTGGCCCAGCCTCTTCTCATGGAATGGCCCAATGGGCCTGCTACTGGGGAGAGGAACACAGGGGCTAACAGGTCTCAGAGGATGAGGCTCGTTGGGCTCCTGGGCCTGTGACCATCTCTGATGCTCTGACATTGAGAGATGCTGGGGATAGAGGGTCCACAGTGAGAAGGATCCTCCCTGCCAGGGATCAAAGTCTGTCCGGGATCTCTGCCCATCCCCTGCCCCTCCTTGGCTTCTAATCCTCCCACCCCTCCCCTGCTGTCCATTCTCTAGCCCACCTCAGGACCTTTGTGCTACAGGTGCCACTGCCTGTTATACCTGTCCCTGTGCACCCAGAGCATGGGTGGCATTTTTTGGGTCTTTGGTCAATGTTGCCCCTCCCCCATCCCATCTCTCCTTTACTCCCAGTCATGCCCATGTACTTACCACCCTCCCAAATGGTCAAGTGTGTGGCATATATATCTCCCATGAGACTATGGTTTGGGGGTAGGTAACTCAGCCTCTGTGTGCAAAGGGCTTCATGGTATAGAATGGGAACAGGAGTGAGATCACCACCATCACCATGGTGGAGGATCTGGTGGATGTGGGAGCCTCTCCACCTCAGTCCTGGGGGTACAGGAAGGGCCGCCCCAGCTTCGAGGCCCTGCCCGAGACCTGGCCAGAGCAATTCTCTTAATGTCAGGTTAATTCACCCCCGGGTGGGGCTCTCTCTTTCCATGTTCTTTTCTCAGCTTGAGAAATGCACCCTTCCTGTCCCTGGGGGAAGTGCCACCTGGAAGGCCCTAGGAGATATTCCAGGTGCCTGGGGTGGGGTGGGATGGGGAGTAAGCAGGGGGACGGGGCGGAGGCCTCAACGTGAATCCAGACCTGAGGGGCAGATCCCGGCTCAGGTGCTTACAGGCTGTGTGACTCTGGGTAAGTCATTAACCTCTCTGGGCCTCGTTGCCGCTGTAAAATGGAGTGACATGCCTTAATAGGAGAACTTGCTAAGTACCGAGCACCATGTGTGCTGAGGCAGGCGCCACGGTCAGGCAAGGCCTTGCTGCCCCATTTCATAGAGGGTAAACTGTGGCTGGGAGGGGACATGGCTTTCCTGAGGTCACTCAGTGGCCCATATGACTCCTCCTCTAACCCTGGGCTACGCCTTCCCCACTAGGGCCTTGATCTCCCCATCTGTTCTACAAGGGGCAGGACTTCTAAGACTCATCTGCTGAGGGTGTCCATGCCTCCTCTCTCCAGCTACCCGCTTCCCCCTCTAGTCCCTGAGGTCAGGCCTTAGGCTGGGAGCCACTCAGGTCTCCCCTGGTCCTCCTGGGCACAGTTAGCCTACAGACATACCAAGTTCAATGTCACTTTACAGGTGTGGAAACTCAGAGGGGACTGGCTCCTATGAAGTCACAGGTGAGGACAAAGGAAGGTGTGGGGTGGCTCAGGGTGCCAAACCCCAGCCTGCCACGCCCACTGCCTGACTCACCTGGACTGGAAGGGCTCAGGGGCTTAGGTTCCCCCGAGGCCTCTGGCTCTGGTGCTGCAGCTTCCCGCTGTGGGAGGCCAGTCTCTGTGGCCTGGGCCTCTTCTCCAGCCTCCATGTCTCCGAGGGAACCTGTGGACACAGCCCAGGGGGAATCATGAGGCACTGGCCACTCCTGGTCAGAGGCCATGACAGGGCATCCATCAGCATGAGGGCTCCCTCAAGGGTCCCTGAAGACTTGCTGTGTGAACCCTACTCCTGCAACAATTCTAATGTCTTGCAGTCACCGGCCCTCCCACCCCACCTCATCGGCCTCGCAGCCTCTGCTGGCCCCACAAACTGCTCTTGCCAGAACAATGTTCCCAGCCTCTCCCCTCTGCTCTACTCCAAGCCATGGGAGCAGCTATGGGGGCTCTCCTGGGGCCAGGGGCCCCTGAGGGTTACACGAACGCCATGGCCTACCCCATCCCATAGGTACGCACTGCAGGGGTTCACGGAGCCCAAGTGTGCATCCAGAGCCCCTGTGGGTAAACATCTCCTGGGCTTTGCTCAGCTATTTCCTCCGCCTCGGACCCCTCCTCTGGGGAGTGCCTCGAGCTCAGGTTTTGAGGTCTGGGAGCTTCGCAGGGGTGGGCCCCAGCACCCAGGACACAGGAAGTGCTCAGAGAAGCTGATTAAAGGAATAAATGCTTGATGGGACACAGGTGAACACACAGGCATCTAACCGCTGGGGGCTAGAGTGCCCCAGGCCTGGGGCCCCCTAATTCCAAACCTCAACCTCCCCAGAGACTCTTACAGGAGTTGCCCCATGGAGCCCACCGAACAGGTGAGAAGACAGATGAGAATCAAAGTAACCTAAACCCAGACCCCCTGTGAAGGTGTGGAAACTGGATCCACCAGTGCTCCTGACTGCAGGCCAGGGTGGCAGCCTCTGACCCGAGGTCAGATGAACGGTGCCAGTGTGGTGGGCAGAGGGGACAGTGAAGAATAGGGTTCCCCAAGACTTGATGTGTGAACTCCACCCGCTCCCCAAATCCTCTAGGCCCCTTCTATCTCTGTCTGTCTCAGCCTTGGCCCCAAGACAGGTAAGGGGTGGGGCTGCCTCCTGCCCCAATTACAACAGCTCCTTGATTAACATTATTTCCTTATAATGTTGATGAGCAGCAAAAGGAACCTAACTGCAGTTTGCATCAATTAGCCTAAGGGTAAAACTGGTTTCATTATACGTCATTTTACTTAAAGTCACAGAACCTACAGATGATGTTAAAAGAGGACTCATTGTACCTAAGTTCCTCTCCTGCAGCCACCTGTCCTGCCTCCCACCGGCTGGTTATCAGGTAGATGACACCCATCATCCAAGTGTGGTGTGGGGGAGGATCCTGACTCTTGAACCCCAGCTATGTGCACTCAGGAGTCGGGGTGTGGGGGTAGTGGTGGTTCTGGGCCCAGGCCCTCTTGATGCTGAGGAAATGAAGAAGAGTCTAAAAGCTGTGGTGACATCTGTAAATTCAGTGTCAGAGGTGCCTGATGGAGCACAATGGGGCTCGCTCTGGCTGGTGACAGGAGGCACCAGAAGGAAGGCCTGAGTTGGCAGGAATGGAATGGCCACTTCTTAAGGGCTGAACTCTCCATCCCTGGAGGCAAGCAAGTAGCAGCAGAGGGAGACTTGCTCGGGATTCACACCTCTGTGGCTGGTGGTTCCTGACCTTTTGTATGCTATGACCCCTCTGGGAATCTGATGAAATCCAGTGCCTTCTCCCTGGGGAAAACGCACAGAGGGACCAAAATTTGTCCAGTTTCAGGGGCTTCTCACTAAATTGCTAGTGTTTTCCTTCCTGGTACCCTCACTCTCCTCCTTTTCCAGGGTTTTCCAGGGGTGAAAGAAGTTGGGTAGGTGGCTGATGAAGGGAGATGGGGCCTGCTGGTGCCTTAGATGCCTGTCCATAGAGTAACAACTGTGCAAACAGCCAGCATCCAACACGGGCCACACAAGCTGGCTCATGGCAGCAGGAAGGAGAGACCCAAGAGACTGTGATAGAATGAGCAATGTTGTGGCCAAGTTCACTGGCTTACTTTCAAAATCTAGCAATTTACATGGAGCAGGGAGGTGGCAAGCTGGTGTCTCTTTGCATTTCGGCTCACCTCTCTGACCAGAGGCGGATGACAGCCGGCTATAGTAGTGAAAACTGAGTTGTTCCTGGTGAGGCAGACACCTTTCCTGCCTTCTGAGGGCAGACACTGTTTTAGAAGGCAGAGGCGCCAGGACCTCTGGACTCTGCAGGGGACTTCCAGGCCAGCAGAGGAGATAGTTAAACAATAAATGGGCCCCAAACAGAAACAATGGAAATTTATAAATGTGCTATGAGGGAGGGAGGCAAATGAGAAAGAGAAGGAAAAAACAAAAAAACAGGCAGAGATGCTACTTGCAGATCTCAGAGGGGACGACATTGGTACAAAGATGAAGGCTTAGAAGGCAGAGGGAGTGGCTTGTGCAAGGGCCTGTAAATTGGACAGGCCTCGTGAGGTAGAGGAAGGAGCAGGGATTAAAGGCTGAGAGTAGAGCAGGGCTGACCTAGAGGCGGGGGACATGTGGATCCTAATCTTAGGGGCACTGGGTAGCCACAGAGGGTCCCAGCAGGGGCAGCAGCGTCATTTCCCAGCTGCAGCCCTCTGGACTTAGCTCTTGATGAGTCCCAACCTCTCCAGGACACTTCAGAGCTATAATTACTCAGACCACACAGATCCAGCCCCAGGCTAAGCCTCTGTGCTCTCATCAATGCGCCCACACGGGCCGGCTCCGTGATGGGCTGGGCACACCCCAGACCGGTCCGACGCGTGCCTCTGAGACAGGTAGGAGGCCTGACCCACCATGACCTCCCTTGGCATGCACTGGGGCAGGAAAGCAGAGGCTGCGGTGGAGGCTGGCCTTCACTCTCTCTCCTGTGGGGTCAGTCCTTAGTGGGCACTGCCAGTCACTGGGGCCAGCACACAGTCCCGGGGTCAGCCTATTTGCTGGCCATTTTCTAGAAGCCCTGGTGTCTTCTGTGGCTCATTCAGAGCTGGAGTGGGTGCCCTAGGGCTGAGGCCCCTCCTGCTGGATGGCCATGGGACTTCAGGGCCTCAGTGTCCTGCTCTGGAGAATGGGTACAAAGCTACCTGCTTTTAGGGACTACAGGGACCAGAGCACTGGGGCCAGGCTAATACTGGACACACAGCTGACACTCTGCTCCCCACACCTGCCAGCGCTGAAAAGATGCCTTGCTCAGGTGGGCCTCAGCCACCCAGGGAGGCCCTGAGCTCGTGGCGGGTCCATTTATGAGAGAACAAAGGCACACGCTCTGCACAAAGGCGTGACAATGAGCGTGAAGAAAGAGGCTGCCGGCCTTGGCAATTTATTCTAATGTCTCTAATTCAGTTCCAGCACAATTAAAACAGCTCTGATAATGTAGGAGACAATTGCTAACCAGCAAATTTCTACAAGCCCACGACGAGGATGTGGCACAACGAATTCCGCCCCACGCCTGCCTCGGCACCCTGAGAGTATGCCACATGACCTCTTGAGCCCCTGTGACACCCCTGAAGCCACACAAGGGCACCTGGGTCCTTGATCCACTTGGGTCTCAGATAGGAAGTTTTCTCTGCTGGCCAGGGGCATTGGTGAAATGCTTTGCTTCCCTGGGTGCCCTGTGCTAGCAAAGAGCCCTGCCTGGCCCTTGTGAGACCCCCTCTCAAAGGCCTTAACAGCTGAGCCAGGCCAACCCGTGGCCAGGCAGGAGGTGTCTTTGCTTTGTGACCTCGAGCAAGTCACTCTTTGTGCTCAGAAAGCTCCTACCTAGCAGGATGAAATGTGGTGCCACCTGTATCTGAGCTTAGCTCAGGGCTGGCACACAGTAAGTCCATCCCACACATGAACTGTTATCACGATTAGCTATAATCACCCATCGCCCAGTGAGGCCCGGGCAAATGGTGGGGGGATGTGTTATTATTAAGCACTGCCCATATATGAGCCCTGTGCTCAGCGTTTTACAAATGTCCTCTCTACCCCCAAGCCTCTTTAGTTAGCCCAGGGGTATAGAGGTGGTGGGAAAGGTATGTGTGGGGAGCGGGGCGTACTACCAGGCAGCCTGACAGGGTACATAGAGGATTGGTGGGAGAGGACAGCAGGAGGGTGGTGGGGGTGAGGTGGAGGGTGAGGCAGGATCCTGATGCCAGTCGTTATGGGCAAGAGTACCTTCTAACACCCCCCAGAGGGAAGCCCAAGTCAGGCCCACTTTGTAGATGAGTAAACCGAGGACCAGCAAGATGAACTGACCTGCTCATGGGCTTGGGCCAGGAAGCAGCGATGGGGGACTGGTGGGCAGGAGCCTCCCCCAACATGCTACCCTTCTAGACATTGCCAAATGCTGCCCCATGCCTCCCTCGCCCTGCTGATGACCAGGAGCAAGAGCGACGCTAGTCTCCTTGCCTGGCAGGGTGGAGAGGCCAGACACCTGTCTGGAGAGCCCACAGGTGATGACAGTGGTCACCACTGGCCAGGGCAGCACCGAGCATGGCCCCTGCTGTCCGAAGCCCCTCAGTTATCATGGTGAGCAGACGCCTGCACACAGATCTGTCTCCTGCTCATTAAGCTAGACGCCGAAATGGAAATGAAAACATAATAGCTATTTGATTGGGGGTGAGATATTTTGCATATTGGCTCAGTGCTGATAGTGGAATTTCATCAACTCCCTTTCTTCATGCTTTAAAACTGAATTACAGAGACAGGCTCTGTGGAGCGGGATGATCTCAACTCCTCCAAGGCCCGGAGCAGCAACGATTAACGATGACCCCCTCCCGGCTTCCACGGCGAGGCAGCTGTGGGGGAGGCGGGGTCCTTTGGAATGACTGCCTTAAAGAAAGCCAGAGCTAGGGGCTGAGAAGGGAACAAAATCCCCCTGGACTCTGGCCTGCAGGTGGACCTGCCCGGTGGGTGCCGATGGGGATGGCTCAGAGCAGCTCAGAGCACTGGATGGGGGAGTCTGGAGGCCCCGGGTGAGTCCCCCCGGTTCCCGTAGACTGTACCTGTGTTGAGTGGGGGGACTCTGAATGACACCAGGTCATTGGAAATGTGAAGGAACCAGGGCAAAGT